CCGTAGTGCAATTTAATAGGCACTAGCTGACTGTTTAATTGGATTAAAGATAAGCGATAAAGTCGATGTTACTCATTCTGTTCTATTTTCTCTATGATTTAATACAGATTTTATTTTAATACTGTGTATTAATAAGAATGCTCCTTGTATTTTTAAATTATTATTAGCTTTCCAAATTCCAAAAATATCTAATGTGAGCCAAATTAATAGCCATGTTTTCTAGCTGCTCTAACTGTAGTATTTTTTTTTTTTTAACATTTTTTTTTCATTCATGTATTTAAATTAGGAGAAAATAAGGTAAACTGTGCCTTTTAGTTAGGGTTTTCTTTTTTGTAAATCCCACAAAGGATAAACAAATACTTTTTTTTTTATATTTTATTTACAGGAATTTACACATTCTGTCTTTAAAGTTTTGTTTTACAGTAGTAGTTTAAGGACACTTCCTCTTGGAAGACCATTCTTTGTTAAAAGACTGAAATGAGAGTGAGTGAATAAATCAAACTGTTATTATTTTAAGTGGAGTTTTTCTGGCGGTGATTGTGCAATACAGTCCCTATGGGCATCCTCCATCTTTTAACATTGACATGGGCCATATTTCTACACAGGATGGATTAAGTGTCTATTCTGATAGTTAGTACATTATAGTGATTTGCATTTTATACCTCTAAGCTGAAACACAAGAATAATAATCTCTTTATAAATTGAACATTAGCAATGAGAAGTACTCGCCAATGAATTTTATATGAATACGCTTACCTATTCTAACTTGTATTTACTAACAGTCCAACAGTGTGCTTGAATGCAACCAATAACATTAATAATAATAATAATAAAAATAATAATAATAATAATAATATAATGATAATATCTTAATAGTCATAATAATTAATAATAATAAATAATACACTACTAAAAACAAAATTAATAATTAAGAAATAGCCTGTTGCTTGTGGGTGTGTTCCCTTCACTCAGCAGTTTGGATTTAATGAAACGCTGCCTTTTTTTAAACACATGCCCAATGTCTCTGGTCTATGATTGTTTTCCTTCTAATTTGCCCTTTAGGAGCAGTGGTTAAAAGGCCCCATGCAAAATGCCAAAAAAAATCATAAAAATCATTTTTTTTAAAAATTAACTTATTCAGTTTTAAGTAACAAAAATATTATCAACCTGAACATAGAAATGATTGTATTAAAAAATATCTACCCATAATTTTACATCTAAAAATTATAGTTTAAACACTTCCAGTGACTAGAAGTGTTTTATTATATTTTTATTATCATTCCAATATAATAATCAGGGTGCAATTAAATAATTTCTATGCTCAAGTTAATAATTTATAATGAGTAAGTTGATTTCAAAAATTTTTTGTCATTTTAAGGGGACAATACAACCTTCAATATGTGCAAAATATTGCAGTTCTTTTGTTTTTTTTTATAACATTTAAACATTTTCTCCTAATGCAGTATCATACTTAAAATGTCTTCATTAATAAATGTCAAATAGCCTTGGGATACATTCATACTATACTCCATTAAATATCATTCTTTTTGGATACTACAAATGTAGAAAATTGGCTCTCACAATATTTATTCAATTTGTTTTTATTGGCCATAAATCATTAAGTAGCATTTATTACTGTAATTGATTTAAAATTCAAACAACCAACTGAAAAAAATCTACTAAATATTATATAAACATTTCATTTGTTTACATCATAGTACTGTTTGAATGGTAAATAGTATAATAATTCATTGAAAAACAAAACAATAGTCAGCCTATATGGAAGCTAGTGACAGGTATCATGGTTGTATGAAAGGTTCAAGGTTAAATGTTGTGTCCTTGGCTAAGTGCTTTTGTCTAGCTTAAACACAGGATTATGTGTGTACCTGCAGTAAATTTGCAAAACATGGCATGGCATGTGTACTGACCCATATGGATGAGTATGTCACTGTTCTATTGTTGATCCATTGGCAATCGTAATATTAAGATAATGTATTCAACAATTATTTATTGTTAAATGATGTAGTATGCAAATATTGATTGCTCATGAGAAGAATGTTGAAATCTATTGCCCTGAGGTGATGTGAACACATCACTGAGGGGCTGTAGATTTCACCGTTCCCCGAATCTAGAGCAATATATACATAGATTCCACCTAAGCTTACTTCCTAGGGCAGGCGATGAAAGGGCTGATCTCTCTCAGTGTCGTAGAGGTCGCTTCTCCTTTACCGTCCGTGCATGTTATAAATTACATAGCAAAGTTATAGGTGGAGGCCTAGAGATTACACAAAAAATTACTATCATTTAGAGTGATAGTGCTTTTTACCCGGGAAGAATGAACTATCATTCAAACCTATGTTGACCTTAGGAGTGATGGTTCAAGTTATTGCCTATTTGTTAACCAATCAGTATGCCTAGAATCTATGCATGCGGTATATAATAATAATAATATATAGTGTGACTCTAACTATTCTAAATCACAAATGACAAACTTTTTTTTAAGTCTATAGTATAACATAAAGCTTGGAAAGGCACTAATTAACTGTATTACATACATACTACTATGTAATATTTATAATTTAATATTGTCTTATTTATAGTTTAATAATGCTGAAATATTATTATTATTATTATTATTATTATTAGTTGTTTTTTTTAAAGAATCATAATGAAAAAAAGGCTTTCTTAATGGGTTTTTTTTCCTTCATCTAATCAAACCCCTTGAAGATTCAACCAACAAAAATTTTATTAACTTTTTTATTTATTTAAACATAATACAAACAGTAGAAAAACCTTTAATAATTTGTGACAATTTCAAAATAATATGCAAACAATATACAATTCTTTAAGACCAAAATCTGTACATGTCAAATTTAAATTCTAGTTCAAAGCTTTTGTGTTTAAAATAATAGGTGAAGCTTTTGCGAACACAGGCTGTCTTCATCACATTCATGCTTTTATGTTGTTCAATAATCAGGTTTAAAAAAATACAATTTCAGATTAAATTTGTATTGTTTCTGAATTTATATATTTTGTGGACTGACTTTATTGAGATGTAATAATAATGCTGTATACAATTAACATTTTTTGAATGAAAATTTCAGTTTAAGTTTAAATTTCTTTCAGTTGCGGCAACTGTCGCGTGTAGAACATGAGAACATTGTGCGCCTCTACGGCTCTTGTCAGGGAAGTCCTGTTTGTCTCGTGATGGAGTATGCAGAAGGAGGCTCCCTCTACAACGTGCTACATGCTCCGCCACCGCAGCCAGAGTACACAGCTGCGCACGCTATGAGCTGGGCGTACCAGTGTTCCCGAGGAGTTTCTTACTTACACGGAATGAAGCCACAAGCCCTCATTCACAGAGATCTAAAACCTGCAAAGTATGTCACTCAGTCATATTCATTATGATTATAATGATTATTATTATTATTAATTATTGTCATCATCACCATTATTTTTATCATTATGTAGGTCTCCATTCAATTATCACTTTTGGGGCATAATATTCCTCCAATGTATGATTTTCATTCCTGATAGAATAAAATGTGTTTTTGTTTCTTTAAATCAGAAATGATATATAGCTGAAGACTACTTTTGGGACTATTGTTTTCATGGTCTTTAGCAGACTTTGGTCTTAGAAAAAGTTATTATTATAAAGATAAAAGATGGACGCTTCATTTGGGGCTGAATAAAGGGTGTTACAATAACAGTTTATTGACATATACTATTTATAATATTTATTATTTATATATTTGGCACTCAACAGATAGAGCGTCATACAAATATCTTAATACAAACTGAATCTCAATAAAACTAATGAAAAATAGATAATAATGTTTAAAAAAAATTAAGCAAGGAAACTAAGATGTGTATAAGAGACAGGCATTTATTACTGTAATTGATTTAAAATTCAAACAACCAACTGAAAAAAATCTACTAAATATTATATAAACATTTCATTTGTTTACATCATAGTACTGTTTGAATGGTAAATAGTATAATAATTCATTGAAAAACAACAATAGTCAGCCTATATGGAAGCTAGTGACAGGTATCATGGTTGTATGAAAGGTTCAAGGTTAAATGTTGTGTCCTTGGCTAAGTGCTTTTGTCTAGCTTAAACACAGGATTATGTGTGTACCTGCAGTAAATTTGCAAAACATGGCATGGCATGTGTACTGACCCATATGGATGAGTATGTCACTGTTCTATTGTTGATCCATTGGCAATCGTAATATTAAGATAATGTATTCAACAATTATTTATTGTTAAATGATGTAGTATGCAAATCTTGATTGCTCATGAGAAGAATGTTGAAATCTATTGCCCTGAGGCTGTCTCTTATACACATCTAGATGTGTATAAGAGACAGCCTATATGGTGCTGTAGATCAGAGTTAAATACAGTAAAGTAAATGAAGAAAATAAAAATAAAAACACTTTTACACAACAACACAAAGTCAAAATTAATCTTTTCATAGATCAAATCTCTTTCTCCACGCTCTTTTTGCTAAAGATTTGCAAAATTTGTCAATTAAGATTTAATTTTTTTATGAAATAAACTATTGTAATTTTCAAGAATAAAATGTAATTTGTTTTTGATATTTGTGACCCAAGCTCACAAACGGGCTGTAAACTCGTCCTCAGGCCAAAATGAGTTTTTGTTATAATGGCATAGAACATATCATTTACTTTAAAATGACAGTTAAATGAACTCAATCGGGTGTCTGGAAGCAAAGTTATGACCGTTTGAATAATTGTCATCTTATCAACTTTCTTAAATCAAGTTTTGAACAAAATGCTTTTATTTTCGGCAGGTTTCTATTCATTTTTCATTAGCTCCCATCCAAAAATGGCTAAATTTTACCTCTTACAGTTGGAATTTTAAACTCAAACCTCAGGAATATTAAGATTAATAGTTATACTTATTTATTACACAAAAACCCAATTCACACAAAATTCATGTTCCATGACATACTCTGGGTATTGAGGCTTGTTTCTCAATACAGTGCAGTGCGAGTTTACAGCCTGTTTGTGTTCTTGGGTCACATTTAATTGTTGGAATTCTTGAAATCGTTAAGTGAGAGTTGCTGTTTAAATTGCTCGATTTCAACATGTTCAATGTCCTCTAGAACAGGGCAAGTTTTAATTGTAGGTGGTTTTATAATTGGAGGGGTGTTTAATCAGAAGTATTACTAACAAAATTAATTATTATAAAAAGAAACAGGTTACCAAATTAAACTGACACTATTTGTTCTTTTTTTTTCTATAAAGTCTACTCTTAGTAGCAGGAGGTACCGTACTTAAGATATGTGATTTTGGGACAGCGTGCGATATACAAACCTACATGACCAATAATAAAGGCAGTGCAGCGTGGATGGCACCCGAGGTATTTGAAGGTAAAGTGCATTTTCATATACAAAACCATTTTTTCTAATTTTGCTTTTTTTGCTTCTTTGTTTTGCATTTCTTTAGTTCTATAAATAAATAATTGATCAATTATTTGATTGGTTAATATTTCTTTCCTTCATCATACCACAACCTATATATAGCCTTTACGCCTATGTTTTTAAAATACTTTTTCTATGTGGGTACAGCAGGCCTGGTCTTGAATTTTTCAATTCTCAGCTTAGATAACTTCTTAAATCAAAAAAGATTAAGTGAGCTACCTGGCCCAAGCAGATTATACCATAATCTCATTTTTAAAATAATCTTATACCCAATTCACATTTGCTACAATTTTACACATGAAGAATTTTGCAAACATCTTTCCAGGTAAGTGTGCATGTGAAGGTGAATTTATGTGAAATTTGCATACTTTGCCTAATATTTAATATTTTTTTGTATACAATGAATTTACTGGTTTATAATACATTCAAATAAAAATCAAATAATTCCATTGCAGGAAATCAATACAGTGAACGATGCGACGTCTTCAGCTGGAGCATAATTTTATGGGAAGTAATTACAAGAAGGAAACCATTCAGCGAGATAGGGGGTCCAGCCTTTAGGATCATGTGGGCAGTTCATCAAGGTAAATGATTAATTATTAATATTTAAATGAATTTTAAACCTTGTCATCTTAGTTGTATAATTACCACATCTCATGAATATTTATCAGGTAACAACAATACCTTAGTTTATTCAACCCGGATACGGTCGTTCGTTGACTTCCCTGATTGGCATCTTTATGATGTCATAATTATCAGCCAAATTTAAAGGCTTCGCACGTGTAATTGTAGATAATCTGTCTGTCATCATTAGATAGTATCCGTTTTAACAAAAAGAGTTTCTGTGAATAATAACATAATACAGATTCAGCAGCCCTTGGTTGCATCTTTGTGGAGATGTAGTACCACCATTGAGAGTGATATAACAGTATAGGTGAGTCAAATGGCCGGGGTGTTGCAACGGTGTTCCCCGGTTTTAACGGTATGCTCGTCTATGGTTCTAGTGGTAGAACAAGATAAGGACTATAATAAACTGTAGTTTGGCTCATTTGCACATTAAAGAATCCAGTAGGCCTTTCAAGAAGAGTTGGGATTACCCTCTTTTACTGGTCCATTCAGCCCTTGTTGTGGACAAACGAGAGTAGCTGGTAACAGTTCACCACCCAGTAAGCTCAGACTTACCCTTGCCCTTGGGGAGAAGCAAGCTACTGTACAACTAGTCCATTTCATTATAAAGCTTTATATAAATCCATTTACATTACATTGATTGTATAAATTTATTTTACCTGTATTAGGTAAACGACCTCCACTTATACGAAATTTGCCAAAACCAATAGAGAAGTTGATGACCAGGTAAGTGTGTATTAAATATTATGCTGTCTGTAATAAAAGTTTGGAGGAGAGGGAAGATACTTTTCATACATATGTTAATTGGTGAAAAAAAAAATGTTTTAAAATAGTAAAAATTATACTAAAAATCATTTGTAAAAATGTTATTGCTACTGTAGTAATATAATAGTGCTGTAGAGAAATCAAAGTCCAAATCAACTATTTTCTGAGTTAGCAATTTATTGAAAGGTCAAACCTTTGCGTGTGTGTGTGTGTGTATTCTGCAGGGGGTACAGTAAGTGTGTGTTGGATTGAGCAAGATATCTGTTGGATAATAGTAAATAAATGTGGTTTTTTTTTTTTGGTTTTTTTTTTTTGCATTCTTTTCTAGGTGTTGGTCGAAAGAGCCGACGCAAAGACCTTCCATGGCGGAAGTAGCAAGTATTATGTCTAAACTTATGGAGGTACAAATATTTACATACCATACCACATTTGTTTAATAATGTTTTAAATATTTTTATGTCTCATTTTTAAATTTAATTTTCTTTAGATTGGAAATTTTCATTTTAATATATTTTGCCTTTTAAGGTATAAAACAGTAATTAGTAAAATAGTTATTACTTTAAGAAGATATAAAAGCTGAAAACTGAAAGTTGGTCACTGTCAAATAAAATTTTTATTTTATTATAATTTACTTTTAATTCTTTACTCTTCATCTTTATTTGATTGGTTACCATGTGTGACAATCTTTATTTGAATGGTTACCCAATGTGACAATCTTTATTTGAATGGTTAACTTGTGTGACAATATTTATTTTATTTGTTACCCTGTGTGACATCACATTTTATCTTTATTTAATGCAGTCTCTTTCATTTCATTTCAGTATTTCAAGGGAGCAGATGTACCTTTAGTTTATCCTCAGGTAGCAAAAGGTAACGATTTCTAGAAATTAATATATTTTAATAGTTGCTGTATTTTACTATAAGCGCAGAGGGTTGGTTATGATGTCAACAGAACATGCATAACATTTGAAGATGGGCTTATACATGAACAAATACAAGTGTTATTGGTAATAGATCTTTCTGAAGTGTCAATCAAACGTAACTACTGACCAATCAGCACTGGGCCACGAATATGGGCATGTCCTACAAACACCTGTGTTGTCCCATAAACATATGTTTACTTACATTTATGCTATTGTTTTGTGGCCCTTAGGAACAATAATTTATAGGTGGGGGCTTGGAGGAAATGTGCATTGTAATAATTATGTTGAAATTTATTTCAGCGGACATTTCCCAATTGATTTTTTTTTCTATCCTCCTCATTTCCTAATCCATTTATATTGTCCTCAGGAGGTCAGCTTTACCCACCTGAACATGTTAATGTAGTTTACTTATACATAGCACCTTTCTGAAAAAGACCCCAAATAATGGAATGAAAGCCATAGTGATTCTATATTTTGAACTATATTTGTTCATCATTAATCCTTAAATTGTTATTTTAGTTCAAATCTGTAATTGGACCCCATATTTCAGTACAGTACCTATTAAAATACCAGATAATTATACTTTTGTGCTAATGATGCATACTTTCCTAGATAAAAACACAGCTGATAGCCAAAAAGATAAGGATGAGGATGACGAGGAAGATTTGGATGAGGAGTCTGTTATGACAAGTGGTAGCCAAATTCCAGAATCACGAGCGAACACATTGAGTGACACAGTAATTAACCAGCGGTCCAGTCAAGATGTTGAACCCCCTATGTACTTGACATTACCCACTCCACAGGTAAATTTTCGCCATCCCAATTATAGTGATGAGGATGAAGACTGAATGAGGTTGATATCTAGACATTTAATGCAGGTAAAGCTTGGTTTCTATACAATCGCTATATGCTATCCCCGACAGCTTCCGGTGATGCTGATTGGTTAGTCGAATCAGGTAGCCTTCCCAATTGCGTCAGGGACTGCTATGCAGTCGATTGCACTGAAAACACTGTAGCAATTTTTATGAAACCAGGCTTTAATTGTTCAGGAAGTAATGAAACCACAAGGTGTGTGCTGAACTAATGAAACCACAAGGTGTGTAGTGAACTAATGAAATCACAAGGTGTGTTGATGATGTAATGAAACCACAAGGTGTGTGGTGAAGTAATGAAACCACAAGGTGTGTGGGAGAAGTAATGAAACCACAAGGTGTGTGGTGAAATGAAAAACCACAAGGTGTGTAGGGAACTAATGAAATCACAAGGTGTGTGGTGAACTAATGAAACCACAAGGTGTGTGGTAAACTAATGAAACAACAAGGTGTGTGGTGAACTAATGAAACAACAAGGTGTGTAATGAACTAAAGAAACCACAAGCTGTGTGGGGGAAGTAATGAAACCACAAGGTGTATGGTGAAGTAATGAAACCACAAGGTGTGTGGTAAACTAATGAAACAACAAGGTGTGTGGTGAACTAATGATACCACAAGGTGTGTAATGAACTAAAGAAACCACAAGCTGTGTGGGAGAAGTAATGAAACCACAAGGTGTATGGTGAAGTAATGAAACCACAAGGTGTGTGGGAAAGTAATAAAACCACAAGGTTTGTGGGAAAGTAATAAAACCACAAGGTTGGTGGTGAAATAAAGAAATCAGAAGGTGTGTGTTGTTTGTGAGGTGGGTGGTGGTGATAGTACACCCCAAACTCAGGTTGAGGTCCAAATCCTTCCTTGGGTCATTGGGTAAAACAATTTATCTATGCTTATTTAGGCTCTAATACCAAGTGCTGCTTATGGAAGTGTGCTCCGCTGTGAGCTGAGGATGTATTCCGTAGGTGTTTCATTCAGTGATTGTGGGTAAAAATGTAAAGTAGAGGTAGTTTATTGCAATATACGCTATATATATGGTGCATTATTATTATAGTGGGGGTGATACAGGTAGAACATCTTTACATCTTTACATGTTCTGCTTTATTAATGGTGGTGCGGTGATTGCGGTGTGTGTTGTGGTTATGGAGATATTGGTAGTTGTGTCAATGATTTTTATAAGGATAATTGAAATTATTATTATTTACATAAATGATTCCAAATATATGATTTTGATGATAAATATATTTTATTTTAATGATGACTCAGTGTGGACACTTAAAAAAATGTAATGTCATTATTAAAGACAATTTCCTTTATTAATATATTCTTTCATTTCATTATAAACATATGATTATTAATAATTATAATAATGGTAATGATTTTGATGTGTCTGTAATTTTTTTTTGTTGAATTATTCTTATTTCAAAATGATATAAACATTTTTAAAGTACGAGTATGAATAATTGATTGGATTTTCTTATTTTCTTTAAAGCAATCAAATGTTGCACATTTACGAGGGACACTTGCTAATGTCCATCTTGACCCAAACTATGAAAACAAGCGGAAATCAACAGATTTTGCAGAGCTGCGCTTCAATGAAGAACAAAAAAGTGAGATAAATTCACCTAACATCATCATTTTTACACATACTTCCATTATCAATTACTTAATCCTATGATAATACGGTTTTTCTTTTTACTTAAGTGAAATTTGTTTTCATACTAAAAATCTTTAGAGGAGAGTAGGGGGAAAAAGTAGCTATTTTATAGCTATACATCTTGTTTCACCATTTCCTTTTAAATGACCTTGCCTTATACTGAAATTTGAACATTAAAGGTGTGTAATCCCTTGAAACATACAAATTATTTACTTAAGTATAGAAATTATTGAATTTAAAAAAATGTGTACCCTGATTTTTGAATTAAATAATTATAATGAGAATAATAAAACACTTCCAGTGACTAAAAATGTTTTTCTCTAATTTTTTGGTGTAAAAGGATGGGTAAACATTTTTAAATATATTAATTTCTATGTTCAAGTTGATAATTTTAATGTTATTTAAAAACGGGCAACTTAATTTCAAAAAAAAAATTAGTATGTTTTAGTATTTTGCATGGAACAATACATCTTCAAACCAATAAATTCCAAAATACCACCAAGACCACCCTTTTCTACATACCGTAAAACCTCGAATTGAAGCCCCAGGCTTCTTTTTTTTTTTTGCAAACTTTGGATGGGCTTCTTTTCAAGGCTACTTTTGCAATGTAAAGAGGGTGGGGTGGGGGGTTCTTTTCAAAATGAATGCTGTAAATTTTGGGAATTACTACCATAAAACAATAAATAGGGCCTCTGTAACATCACTCTGTAGTATGGAGTGTATTAAGCGGCATTAAATCACATAAACTATTGTATAAACCAAGTACCTTTAATTTATTTTGTTTGTTTGAAATTCATGTAGAGTGTATGTACTATATTATCTCAAAAGGAAGCCAATGCTATCTTGAAAAGAAGCCCATGGGCGTCCTTTTGAGATGGGCTTCTTTTCGAGGCCACTTTTGCAAACTAAAGAGGGGCTTCTATTTGAGGTTTACGGTATTTCCATTATATTATATATATATATATATATAAGCTGTAATGTTCTTGTTTTGTAATAATTAATATGTAATGGAAGCAGATATGAACACTTATTTGCCAATGAAATTGATTTAAACAAGTGTTTTGAGAAACAAAAAAAATGAGAGGGGTTTCCTAGTATAAATTAAACATAATGATGAATATTATATTTTCTCTTCTGATAATATTGTCATTATTATTCTTTGTATTATAATGATAGTTGTCCCTCAAACAGCCTATGTATTTATTGTTCTTCTTTCCTCCATTGACTTCAGTTTATTCTCATTGAATTACAAATCAAAAGTTAATTATTAAATACAGTCCTGCATGATCATTCCTTGAGTACATCCTACCACAATATAAGCCCATCCCTTAACTTTGGCTAATCTTCATGTAAAATGCTCTTCCTGGGTATAAGCCTAACTCTTACTTTTTGGAATCCAACTTTTACAATACATATATGCCTCACAACAATTCTGAAATGCCTCACAACTATTATGAAGTTCTGAAATATATTACAATCAAATGTAGTATCAAAGCGCTATACTTACTATCCCCAGGCTACCTAAAATACTGTCCAGTCTTATCAAATTTTATTTGACAAAAATGCCCATATATAGTCATGATGTGCCTATATAATATGTTCATGGTGTGATGTCATGACCATATTTAGGCATGTCACATGTTTTTGTCAAATAAAATGTGATAGTCTATCCTGGGTTTAAGCCTTCCTAGCCTTTCTTTTTGAGGCCTCGGCTGAATTGTCCCTGTCCAAGGCAAGATGAACTACACAACTGAGGCATGTATGCTCTCCGTATTTTTATTTTCTGGGTGCAAATTCAATTCACAAATATAGTACACAGAAAACATGTTTGAGGTTGGGCTTATACATGAGAATCTATGGTAGTATTAACTTAATCCATATTAATTGATATCTAAATAATATCTTCGTGCTGCCTTATTACTGTAGCTCTCCCTCAATGCTTAAGTAATATCATATATCTCTTTTACCCTTTATTTGATATTTAATCTGGGAGCTTTTTTAGTACCAGAGCAACTAGTTCACTCGGCTAAACTGGGTGTAGCCACTGTGTGTCCGCTGAACCCTGGTGATTTTTTGATTTCCGGTTTAATTTAATTTCGCATTGTTGCTCTCCTGCCCAATTCAACACCAGAAGTAGGTCAGAGCATCACATGTATACTATTATTACATATTTCTTTCAGCACTCACACTTTTAACATGTGTTTTATTAGTGCATGGTCTTTTATATTATAATATTATATGTATGATATCTTAATATGAATTACAACTTACAGTACATATATTCAGCTTGGAGAAATATTATAGAATTTGTATCTTTTGAGTGTGAAAAATAATCATAATTATTGTATATTTTTGTGCAAAAGTGAGCAAAATCTAATTGTAAAATTAGAATAATGGTATTAATCCAGTGAGTTGTGGTTAATTGAACTAACACATTGCAAAGTAAATACTCACCATCATCTTGCAGTGAAACAGCGCCCTCCCAGTCCTTAGTGGTTGTGGGTTGACCTTATTTAAACTAATACATTAGTAGTATAAATTTTACCAGCTCGGGTGTGGTTTCGGTCTTTACTTTTAAGCTATAAATAGAGACAATGGTGATGGTGGTAAGTATTTCTTTGTCTTCGCTATAATTAATACTTAATCAATAGTGGCTTTAGTTTGTGCTTCTTTCTAGCTTTTTTTTCTTCGTTTCATTTTTTTACCGCTGTAGAACCAGTTATGGGTCATCGTAGGAGTAATTCTCACGGCCAAACATTCACTCCATCGCAAATATCTACTAACCAGCCGAAGCCAGAACCTAATTTGCAATTTTTGTTAACCTCCTCGAATGCCCCCGCTGTAAATATTCTACCGTCCTCCCCAGCCCCCCACTCGCCAATTCCACACTCCAACACTGTTCCTAGCAACCTTGGTGACACTTTTGACTTTATCAAGCCCAAGTCCAGGTCATTTTCTGAACATCAGATCTTGAATCAAACAGATCCATATGAGGCTGAGGGTGCACTTCAGTCGGGTAGACTAGACCAATCATCTGCAAATGCTGCACCTTCGCAGTCTGCATACAACAATCAACCCGGTAGCTCACGGTCTAGCAGAGCAACTCGTAGTGTGTCCCTGGATAATCAAGGAGCACCACAGCAGTCAAATCCAGGTTTGCATGCTTTCATTTTGAATGTTCTTCAAACTTTCGCTTTATATTTTTATTATGCATTGTTTGCCTTTTTTGTAGAAGAAAAATCTTTTATGCCTCTGATTGAAGTTTTTTTCTTTTAAATGCTTTGTTTTATAAAGAGTCTGTATTTCTTTCCAAAATACATTTTTTGTTTGGTCCCTATAAAACTTTTATCAAAATGTCCTTTTTATGTAGATCAGTGGTGGCTCCAGACATGTCTGACGAGGGCTGACTAGAGCCTTGGTCAAGGTCCCGGAATAGATAGATAGAAATTTGCTTTCATTTTCATAGAAGATATTGGCAGATCATTAGATTACATTAAGAAAACAGAATAGAAAGCAATCAGCATATTAAATAATAACAAGTCTAAAACCAAACAATTTCAGAATTGAAAGTGCTTTATACATGCGAAACATTATTATTACTATTATTATTATTTTTTTTAAATATTAATTACTGTAACATTGTTATTATTATTGTCATTGTTATTTTTATTAATTTGTTCTTTTTCTTTATAATTATACACAACATTTTTTTAAACTTTAAAGAAAGTTCACATAATTTGAAAAAAGTTAAATAACAACACTTTCTCTAAACCCCTAGTAGTTCTCTTATAATTATATACTTAAATTATGTACAATATGACAGCCGATGTCCTGGAGGTTTCCTCAACTGTATCCGTGAGACAGGACACTTTCTATTGGCACCGCTGGAGACCTCCTTCGGGTCCCCCGGATGCAGGTTAGCTTCATGTACAGTGATGCGAAGTATTAGGAATTACTTTATAATTAAAACAAATTACTGTACGTAATAATTTCGATATTAGGGAGGTTTCACACGCAAAAGAATACGTGTACGCATGTTTAGCTATCTGTAACGGTTTGTAGCCATTCTGTGTTTTTAGCAATCACAGTGCAATTCAATCGTAGGCCTAGGCCTATACTCTGTTTTCTTCTCCCATCATGCTTCTCAAAGTTTTAGTATGTAAGGTTTTGGAAATTGAAATTGTTAGCCGAATAATGCTCCTTACTTTGTTGCCCAGAAGAGTTGGTTATTTTGTGATAGGCCCTATTGTTTATGACCAAAAAATGCCTGGCTACAAACTAGGCCTAGGCCAACATGAAATCCAAACACCACCAAGGTACAAGCACCGACATTTTGATACCCTATAATGAGACAAATCCTATCATAACTTGCTGTCTTCAAGTGTCACAAAAATTGAACGTACGTATTCAAAGATAAATTTATTTTTTACACTTACTTAAAATGTTAAAAAAAATAAACCAAAATCCAACTAGAAATCCAAAATTTTCACTTACATGTAGTGAGCGAGATATGCATGTCGTTCACACGTTTAACGGATACCAACCAGCGTATCACACCATGAATGATGATGTATCTATCGCACTAATTGTATGCGTTCCCGTGCGAAACTTCCCTATTTACATTTTGGAGCAGATAATGCATAAGAATTTCCTACTGAATCCCCAGCTATGGCATCTGCAGAGGGAGAATTTATCACAGTGAATGAAAATTTGTTAAGGTCTTTAGGGCCTCGGTGACCTGGATGAATTAGGAGTTTAAATTCAAAATGTTAATAGTAATAATTGAATAATAATGGAAGAATCAAGAAATTATTAATTGGTTTAATCAGCATTATTAAAAAATAATAGCCAGCTAAAAAATACTTTTTTTTAGTATTATTGTTTAAAAATTGTTATTAATGTTAGTGCTGTGTTATTAATGCCATCATTCATCATTATTGTTAATATTAATTAATAATATAATTATCAATATTGTTTTTAACCAACGAGTCATTACAACTTTGCAATGTCATTTATTATTGTTGTTTGTTGTTGCTGCTATTGTTGTAGTCATTATTATTATTGCAGTTTCTATATTATTAATATTATACTTCTATCTTTAATCACTATTTCTTCCCAGATGTTTTTAAAGGGCTGATGATTAAAAAAATGTTATCACTACACCCTTTAAACAACATTGCCTGGACCGTCAGTATACCACCAAACCAAGTAACTGAAAGTAAAAAGAAAAGCATGCTTCATAATCCTATTACAACGCTATCATTACACCCTTTAAACAGCATTGCCTGGACCGTCAGTATACTACCAAACCTGTTAAGTAACTGACAGTGACATTTTAGCATGCATCATGAACCAACTGCAATCACTAAACCCTTTAAACCACATTACCTGGACAGTCAGTATACTACCAAACCAAGTAACTGAAAGTAAAAAGAAAAGCATGCTTCATAAGCCTATTACAATGCTATCACTTCACCCTTTAAACAGCATTGCCAGGACCGTCAGTATACTACCAAACCTGTTAAGTAACTGACAGTGACATTTTAGCATGCATCATGAACCAACTACAATCACTAAACCATTTAAACAGCATTGCCTGGATCGTCAGTATACCACCAAACCAAGTAATTGAAAGTAAAAACAACAGCATGCATCATAAGTCCACCAAAATGCTGTCACTACACCCTATAAACAGCATTGCCTGGACCATCAGTATACCACCAAACCAAGTATTTGAAAGTAAAAACAACAGCATGCATCATAAACCCACCAAAATGCTATCACTAAACTCTTTAAACAGCATTGCCTTTTCTGTCAGTATACTACCAAACCTGCCAAGTAACCGAAAGTAAACATTTTAGAATGCATCATGAACCCACTATGTACAATGCTATCACTACACCCTTTAAACAGCATTGCCTGGACTGTCTATATACTACCAAACCAAGTAACTGAAAGTAAAAAGAAAATCATGCTTCATAACCCTATTACAACACTATCACTACACCCTTTAAACAGCATTGCCTGGACCGTCAGTATACTACCAAACCTGCCAAGTAACTGAAAGACATTTTAGCATGCATCATGAACCCACTACTGTATTAAGCAGTGTTGCCTGGATAGCCAGTATACCACCAAAGCAAGTAACTGAAAGTAAAAACCTTAACATGCATCATAAACCCACTACAATGCTATTACTAGCTCCTTTAAATTGGTGTACCAGAGTTAATATTTCTGTTAGAAAATTACATGAAATCAACCAATATTTTCATGTATGGTTTTTATTTCATAAAATGAAAGTGGAACTCAATTTCCATATTGTATTTTCATCACAGCTCAGAGATATTGAATTTTGTCGATCTACATACATATGAAAAGATTGTTCTCGCTTATATTAATGAGTTCTTTGAAATTGACAGACAAACAAGAAGATTTATACCTGAACTGAATGTCAAATTATTTGATTTTAGTCAAGCATTTCCCCATTTTATTTTTGAATTCTTGTATGATTTTTTGTTAATAATGTCAAGAATAATTAACAAATTTTTTGGAATGGGGAAATTTTAAATCCGGAAACCCTCCTCTCAAGTTCCCAATTTGGTAAAATGCATTTTAGTAAATGTCTCAAACTTTCAGTAAGATGGAAATTTTCCTTAGTACCTAATAATTTGTCCTGAGTGCAAAATATAAGTTGCACAAAATTACAAATATACCATAATTAAATAACAGTGGTGGGATTTTTTTTGTTGTTTTTTTTAAACCTGGTACCATGTTTTTTGGCTTTTTTTTTTTTGTTTTTTTTCAGACATCTTTAAGTAGTCATGGAACAAATATAGACAAAATTGTATCCTGATGGAAGGCTCATTTTCCTGGAAGTCAGACAATGTGTAGATTTTATTTGTGGGTCTAGACCCAATAAAATATTTCCGTATGTTTTTGTTAGGCAAAATATCTGTAGTAACTACGGAAGTTCCCTAGAGTTTGAGAGCTCTTGTCTGGACCAACATTATTACCAAGCCAAGCAACTAGGAAACCTTGGAGAGCATCATGCATGGTTTAATGCATTTTTCCCAAACTAATATAGCAAAAAATGTATTCACCTCCATACTGAACAGTGGTGTATCTAGGAGTTGTGAGATGAGGGATATTTGCTAATGGGGGGGGGGGGGGGGGTGTGTGGGGGTTCAAAGATGAAGTGGGAGCTTGATGATTAGGCCTAAAAAAAAATTGTTTGTTTGCCCTTTAATGCTGAAAATTAACATACTGTATTAAATCGCAATGCTTGCAATTAAGCCTGTCTCACTATTTGTTTTTTCAAAGTTTATTCATCAGACTGAATAAAAATAACCCATAATCAATATTTTGTAATGAATTTAGGCCTAGAATGGCAATACCTTACATCAGACACCAAATTTAGACAATTTTAATGCGCAAAATGGAGGAAATAAAGATCCCTTTCTTAAATTTGTGGACAAAAAATTTTTTTAAAAAAACTTTTTTTAAAAACGCTGCCCCTATTTTTTAGTGAGCTAGGGGAGGGTGCTGCAGGGCAAACATACAATTTTTTTTAGGCCTTATGTAAGGACCGCTAGCTTGCAAAATAAGGTGATTTTTATCTTACCGGTACTTGATTGTGATTTTTTTCGCTTTGAACATTTTCATTGGGGAGGGGGGTAGGTGACAGGCTTTTTGGTGGCCATGTGTGTCCCCCTTCCAGCCCTCCCCTAGTTACGCCACCCATGCTCAAGGAAGTATATGATGTTTATATTATTGTTTGCGTAGTTAAGAAAATAATCGAAAATGTATGTAGATTAGGAACCTTCAAAAACTTGAAACTTAATCATAGTAACTCGGAAAATGCTTAAAAGTTTAATTGGGAATAATGTCTAAAGCACATTCCCCATCAATGAGAAAAAAAATGTTTAAATACTTAGTACTTGTAAATCATTTGTGAACAAAAAAGAAATCACAAGTGATTCTCTTGAGAATAAAATAAACCACCTTCAGAAACTAACATTGTGCTTATAACAAGAACATTTACACATAAACAATAAAGCCAGTTTTCTAATTAGCATATTAGCATATCAAAGCAATTGATTATCTGTAAATTACTGATGGATTGAATATTTGATTGATTGATTGATTGATTGATTGATTGATTGATTGATTGATTGATTGAAATTAGCATGTATTGATCTTCTTGGCCTGCATAGTCGTAATGTACAGTGGGAGGTTGAGAGATGCATCTAACAGTACATACACAAATGCTGTGTTTTGTGAATTCAGTAGCCCTTTATTTTTACACAGGATGATTATATTTTTGACAGGCATTAAAAAATAAATGTGGGCTTGATATTAATGTTGATAATATCACTATCAAGTTGTCTATGACAAATATGTGTGATTTGCCTATTATATGCCTATGATGACATGACATTACTTCCATATATGGGCAAATCACAAGTATTTGTCACATAAAACTTGATAATGTGGATGGAGCTTTATTGTACAAAGTCTGTTCAAACATTGTTGAGTCTGACAGACTCTGTAATAGTGTGAACCTGGCTATTTAATACCTAGCTCAAGTTTAAAGCATGAGGTATCAAATATGGTATACCTGACATTGCAATGTATATGCTTATAGTGCTATTACTAATATATTGTATGCCAATATATGGTCATGATGTGCCTATATATGGTCATGATGTGCCTATATATGGTCATGATATGATAATTAGGCATGTCACATGTTTTTGTCAAACAAAATCTGACAGTCTAGACAGGGCTTTAAGGTGGACAGGAAAGACTATTGATTATATTCTTTACAAAAATCTAATGTTTGTTTTTTTTTTGTGGTTCTTGTTTTCTTCTTATAGATGATGGTTTACCAATGGCTTACATGACATTAGATAGTCGACTACAGGTAGGTAGTGTTGTAGGTATTAATCAACATTTAGTTGCCAAAATTAAAAACAAAATTTTGTTTAGAAAAAATAATTCTAAATCCCATAAGTAGATTAATATTAATGTTTATTATTGCTTTTATATTTTTTTTGTAGTTTGTTATATTCTTGACAATGTTCCAATAAAAAACGAAACATAGAATCAACTATGGCGTCATGTCTGTCATTTTTCGGAGTCACCATACTCATATTTTGTTATATATATTTTTTGTGTTTTATCATAAATTAAGAATAATTGTTTTTGTAGTCTCATACGTTTTCATGAAAATGCTTGAAATCTCCTTCATTTTATTATTTTATATATTCAATATTTTGCAGTGTTAATTCTTTTCTTGCAGCCTCTTCCCCCGAATCCTAACTCGAAAGAATCTTTAGAAGTGTTTGATAGTCACTGTAAGGTAAGGATTTGTTCCATTTTTAATTTACTTCTCTTACTCAATGAAAAATTATTACTATTTAATCAAACTTGTGAATATTCAATATTATTATATGATAACTTATATTTATACTGGTAATTTTTTTTTAGATGGCACAAGACTACCTGCGTGTGCAAACTGAAATTGCTCTCCTTCACCAAAGAAAGTAAGATATGTAATCAAACTAAGAAATTTAGATTCATTGTGTGGGAGGCAGTGCTGGCTGGAAGGGGTTAAAGCTTAAAATGTGCAGAATATGAATATACAGTTGAACTAGCCTAAGTCAAATCCAAAATGGCATTGAATAATCATTCAACTCGATAAAATTTGATTTACAGATTGTTCATTAATGAAAAATCACAGCAATTTTGGCATGTAAAATATGGTCGACTTAGAAATTATTCAATTATGCAAAGTCGACTTAGGCAAGTTTAACTGTATTCAAAAGTCAGTTTTCTTGTGTGTGCATGCCCCATATATAAAGAAATTTCTTCCAACTTTAAATCTTGGGACCCTTGCATATGTGAGGCTTGGCATCCGAATGTGGCAGTATTTTACAGAACAGCCACAATACTTTTACTTATAACTCTGGTAATAATAAGTCGATGCCAGTAGATGACCTATCATTGTAAACCTGTCATTGTAGAATTTGGAGAATATGAATCAAAATTCAGTTTTCTTGTGTGTTAATTTGCAGGAAAGTACTTGCTGGGCAACTGGACCAAGATTATAAAGAACAACAGTCAACTTTCCATTACTATGAAGAGTATTTATCAGTAAAAAACCAATCAGTAAGTAAAGAATAAATACTATAGTTGTCCTATTAAATCTAATAATACAGTTTAAGCAGAAGATCTGAGTTAGAATTCTATTTGGACAATCATTTATTTTTACAGATCTCTACCTGTTGAAATTATATAATTCTTGAATATTATTAGCCCAAAAATAGTTTGTTGTATTGCTCTAGCCCAACCAACCCTAACTCTTCAAAAATTTAGGGTCAGATTTTGTTTCTAGAAAATTATTTTTTTTTAACTAGGAGATGCCCAAAATGGAGTGGCGTTGAATAGCTTGGTGGTTAAGATGCTTGCCTTCTGATCCCAGGGTCCTGGGTTCAGTTCCTGTCGCAGCAGGACTTTTTCTCACGACTAAAATCAACTCCACTCCCTAAGCCTCATAAAGAGACTTAGTTTATAAAGCATCATTCTCACATCCTGTAAGTGGTGAGTGTACTTGCTGTTGGATGCGAAGGAAATAGAAATAGAAATAGAAAAATAAGGGTAATGGTTTCGAGACTTATAATAGTGCATAATACATGGTCTCTATGCGCTGTAGAGTAAACAATAACAAAATCTATTAAAAGCAGGACAATTATGATAAATATGCTAAAATGAAATTCCAAAACATACTAATTCAGAGGGACAACACTATCGCACTGTACACCTGCAGTTTGAGACCACTGACAAGCAGTTAGTTAGCATAGTACCTGTACATTTTTCTATTGGTTGATTATAAAGACTATTGATATCATTAATGACAAAAAATTATTTTTTTTAGAATAATATTAGTGATAATAATAGTATTTATTATAAATAATGTTAATACAATAACTACAGTAATCTAATGATATTAATGAGAATAATGATGATATTGATGTGTTAATGATAGCAGCGACAAGAATAATGCCATTATGAAAAATAATTTCTTTAATTGATATGCTATTTTCATCCGACAGGAACGACTAAAGGAACAACATAGACTGCTGAAAGAAAGTCTAGACTACATACGAAGGCAACAGCCTGCTAAAATCTACCATCCACCATCTTAACGCACATGGTTCATATTTTAAAGTTTGCATCAAATTCTTCGGCCAGTAAAGTATAATTTACAACATTGGTATCGCTTAAGAGTACTGCATAGCCTACAAGGAGATTTTTCACTGTACGACCTCAGTTTACAAACAATTTAAAGAGGTTCCTCTAGTGTACACCTTAAAAACTAGTCAACTTATGTTGAATAATCTACGCATATTGATTAATGTTGTTTATGTTTGATAGAAGCAACAGGTGATACGTTTTGTAAGGTGTACATTACCATGCAAGTAGCAATGTACTGTACTATGGTAAGCTGGCATGAAAAATAACTATGCTGTGTTTATTGCAGGCCAGTTTGGCCAAAAATAGGTGCCATTTTTGTCACATTTTGTGGTGCATCGTAGATATTTATTAGTGAGTTTTAGATCTGAGATGCTGAGTGTACTGGGTCCGTATGCTAATTATCTATGACGTATGACACAATAATTATGCAAAGAGTATGTATGTGTCGGGATGATGTCAAACTGTCACAGATCACTCAACGTCTCGATCTAAAACCTACTATTGAGACGTTTTACCTGCTTACATGCATGTTGTAAACACCTATGAGGTAAACGTGATTGATTCACAGTTATGTTGATTGAATGTGCAAGAAACTGATGACCTAAAATCATGGTAGAATTAAAAGTAAAAGTACAGATAACATGCACACTGTTAAGTTGCTGATTGAAACTTAGGCTCAACCGTAAGGTTTAGATTCATATCCAAACTTGGCTATAACAAGTTATTTTTATCTATGCTTTTCTTCCTCCACCCAAAAGTGTGATGCTATTTTGGTAAGAAAGGAATGTGAATGTATGTTTTTTTCTTTGCAGGATATTTAGGCATGACTAGGAATATTTGGTAGAGTGTGGAAGGTTGCACATTGTGAATGATTGGACTATCAGTGATGAATGTAATACGGCCTAAAAAAAATTGATGAATGTAATAAGGCCTAAAAAAAATTGTTTGTTTGCCCTTCTCACCCGCTCCTAACTCATGAAAAATAGTAGAGACGGCAAAACCAAAAAAAAAAAACCTACATTCATTGCAAAATGTCAACTGTGGGTTATTTATATTCCATCTGATGAGTAATCTTGGGGGAAAAAAAAAAAAATTCAACTCGCCCTTTTTTATCATTTTAAAAGAAGAATGGCAAACAAACAATTTATGTTTTTAGGTCTAATATTAAACTCATAAAAGTATTCAATTGAATATGCTATACAAATGCCGGCCCGAACATTATTTTTATCACCAATAATTATTTGATGATGTTCAGTGGCTGTCCACTTCTTCCCCAACCCATTCCTTCCAACCCCCATTTTAAAAATATTTAATCACTTCTATACTAATTATCATGATGACTGATGTTTTTAATCTGCTTAACAACGGTCATCATGCACCATCTACTTAAGCGTCTTTTCCATTTGTTTTTGTTTTTTATGTTTAAAGAATCATATTTAATTCAACTCAAGTTTTGCAAAAGAATGTTCCAGGTTTGATGAGAGTACACGGTGCTAGCATTAGGCCAAAAAAAAAAAAAAATATTGTGTTGGCCACGCCTGACTGACCCAAAATTGCAGTTTGGCATTTTAGTTTTTTTTTTTTTTACTACAATGAAAAATGTTTTTCTAATGAGCTAAACAGACTGGAATAGTCTTGCTGGACGGTAGGCAATGCGACAGTGTTATGCGATCGTTTTGCTATATTTAAAAATGGTCTTTGTTGTATTTTTGTGTATTTTATACTTTTTATGCATAAACACATTATTGGTAAGAAAAAAAACTTTTCCTACCGACCTACCAATTTTTTTGGATTTTCCCAAAACGTGGCTAACACAAGAATTTTTTTGTTGGCCTTACTAGCACAATGCTCATAATTTTTGCAATTTAGTCTTGTGGTTGTATAAATTCAGTAATTCAGTTTCTTTAATGTTGATTTAACAAGTAGTTTTCTTTACTCATTTGACATTAGTGGGTGGGTAGGCGTGTATGTGTGTGTCTTTGAGGGTGTGTAGTATTATTTTATTCTCTGATGAATCTCAGTTTTGATAATTTAGCATCGTTTTGTGCAATTTTGTTTATATTTCATTTGTAAAAATATATCTTGACTAAGTATTAATTGTACATTATATGTACTGTTAACTGTATAATAAGCATTTTAACTTCATAGGATAAAACCAACTCATATTCTAAAAAAGGGAAAAAAATAATAATTTAACTAATTCTATGCATTTTAATTCCCATAGTTTCTGTGTTTATTTTAGCAATTTTAATTCCTCTGATGTAAATTTGAGTTTCACAATTTTGAGGTACTAACATTTAAAACTAGGTAACATGTGCACTAAAACACTTAAATTAACTAATCAGCCACAATCAATTGTTTTACATTAATATAGTCAGTATTTGGTTAATAATTCTAATTGTTAAATTCTCACTCATACTTACATTTCTTTAGTGACCTCCGACCATGTCAAATTTGGTGCTCATATTTTGTAAATTTTAAAAACCTTCTTAAGCATTTTTACATGTCACAGTTCTGGTATAGCAATGTATTTCGTTAGAGATCATGTCTTCTTTAAAATGCTTAAGAAGGGAACGTATCACATAATCTCTAAATCGCGTGGGGACTGGGTACTAGTGTTGTACCTGCATATATTTAGAGTGTGAAATTATTTGCCTCCAATTGGATTCAGCTTTCTGATGAAAGCCTCACCTGCCCAGTTTACTTGGGTTAATTGTATTTTAGTTATTTTATACTATCTTCCAACGTTTAATGCTTCTCAATATCCCAATACTTAGTTTATCTTTCATTATGGATGAGACATGTATTTATTGAATCAAACAATGGCATTTTAATACTCACACGTCATACTTTCACCAAATAGAGGGCGATATACTGCCATTCTTGTTAGTCATTTCTTTTGTTAACAGCCTTCAACTTTCCATATTTTAAGTGTAATATTTGTGAAGGGATGATTTTCCCATGTACTCATATCATAATGTTTGCCAGTCCTGTATATGCCAATAACAGTAGATAGCTCAAAATTTTCAAATTTCAATTAGCCTAGTCAATTAATGCTGGAAAATTGTGATGTGAATGCAGGGGAATAGTACGAGACGTATTTATTGAATCAAACAATGGCATTTTAATACTCACACGTCATACTTTCACCAAATAGAGGGCGATATACTGCCCTTCTTGTTAGTCATTTCTTTTGTTAACAGCTTTCAACTTATATTATTTCTGTATTTATGAAAGTGTATGGGAATAATATGAGACATGTATTTATTGAATCAAACAATGGCATTTTAATACTCACTCGTCATACTTTCACCAACAAACAATGGCATTTTAATACTCACTCGTCGTACTTTCACCAAATAGAGGGCGATATACTGCTCTTTTTGTTTGTCATTTCTTTTGTTAACAGCTTTCAACTTATATTATTTCTGTATTTATGAAAGTGTGTGGGAATAATATGAGACATGTATTTATTGAATCAAACAATGGCATTTTAATATTCACTCGTACTTTCATTAAATAGAGGGCGAGATACTGCCCTTCTTGTTTGTCAATTCTTTTGTTAACAGCTTTCAACTTTCTTATATTATTTCTGTAGGCCTATTTATAAAAGTGTGTAAATATTTCAATGCTAGAATCTTCCCACTTCCCCCTCCCCTCCACACACACCTTTTCTTAATAGGTAAACTGGTTTTCTTCATGTTCTGATAATTAAACTAAATTATATTATTAGGCCAAATAAAATACATGTTTTTCTCATCCATGACTTTAAGAAGTTGAATATCGAGGTCTGACCAATCATGCATACTCTGATGTTATGAAAGTGTTTCAATTTTTATAAGATTTTCCTGTGTTCTAAAAATAAACTAAGAAACAATTATTGGAATTGAATAGTGTGATGAAAAACATTTTTTTTATTTGGTCTTGTTAAATTATTTCCAAAATGTAGTGCCTTTAAAGAACTAATGATTCTGTAGCAAGATATCAAAGAATTGATCTTGAATATTTTCTTATTGTATATTCATCATGTATGTAAATAAGTCTAATAGAATTATAGAAAATGTAATTGAAAATGTAAATATTCAGCAGAATGCTTTATTAAACCCTGCATGGCCTGTTCAAAGACTATGACGTCATTCTTCTTGTTGATGAGTTTGTTGAGAGTAATGTAGGCATGATTTCCGTAAAATCCTAGTGTTACTGCAATCGTTGCACTTTGTAGCTGTCACTGATGCAATCAGAAAGACTCCCCAATTCGACTGACCAATCAGCATCTCTAACAGCTGTAAAGTGTAGTATTTTATGGAAACCAGACTTCACTCATATGAAACTATTTGAACCTTTAAAATTTTGAATAGTTCCATTGTGAATTAAAACAATAAATGAAGATTGTGATCCAATAGAAATTGGATAGTGTGCTGCAAACCTACCAAATCGTTCGTACTTTACTGCTACAATACTTTTCTGCTCCATTAAAATTCCTTGAGGAACCGAAAAGAATACAGTATATGCATGAACTTGCGTGTTTTGCAGTAACTTTCCTGGGTCCCTATGAACTATATGCCCAGCCATTCCGGAAGCGCGTATGCGTACGCATTTCCGGAAGCGCGCATGCGTACGCATTTCGGGAAGCATGCAATGTACGCATTTCCGAAAGCGCAGTTTTCGGAAGAACCAGTGTACGTATCAGTTTACAGGCATACAGTCCTACAGAAAATCCATCGGGCGTTTGTTTACATTGCATGTCTTGGATTGGAATTATTTTCGCCATGGGATAACTAACACAACTTATTTCAAGTGGGGTCCATCGTTAGGAGATGTCATAGCTGCTATCGTTTCCGTGCGCTATACTTATACACATCTAGATGTGTATAAGAGACACTATATATATATATATATTCTTTTTACAAATAACCAAGGCCCTTTTCCAAGCCAAAGTGTGCCGAGTGATTTGGGCATTATTATTTAGTGATATCTTAGTTAAAATTAAGTATGCTCTTTTGGGGTCAAACCACGATACAAAAACTTAGAATTCGGATGTGTAAAAAAGGCATTAAAATACGTCTTAGAATGCTAAAATCGGGGCAAGTGTTGCTTCGCCACGACCCCCATCCGGGCAATTCGCGGTCGACTTGCGGCCGGCCCAGCCTGGCCCTGCCCAGGAACCTCCAGCCCCCTTACACCAATGCTTATGGGTGGAATCATGGTGTGATTATTTTAAAATGGGGGCGGTGGGTTAAAAGAAATTACCTGGGGTGAGATTTCCTGCCATCTAGGAGTGTCCGGGGGAGTGCCATACAGATTTCGTACCTCATCTTCATAACTCCCTCTTCATATGAAAACAATTTTCCCGTGCCATGCCATACCTATGGCATTTGTATATAGATACCCTTGCATTTGCTGGCTACCAGCATGAATTTCAAGTATTTTTCTAGAAAGGGCTGTAAATCATTGAATGAAAACTGTTTTTATTTTTCAGTAAGCCTGTGGCAACTATATCGTATTGCTAGGCCAGTAGGCATATATTTCTGTGCTGAACTCAGCGGCGGATTTAAATGGGTGGGGTGCGGGCCATTCCCTTAACCCGTCTCCCCCCCCCCCCCCTTCTTCATTCCACCTCTTCAAAAGTCAAAAAAGGAAAGAAAAAGAAATTATTTAACGCACAAAACGCCTTAGAGGTTATTTCCGGGCGTCTGGAAAACAAAAATTTCCCGGGGGTAGTGTTGTCTCTTGGTTTCCCCCTTCCCCACATTCTCGGACATCTCCTGGATTCGTCCCTCGAAGTGTTTTCTTTACTGCTTTTTAATTTATCGCACCTGATATTACTCAGTTGAAGATTTTGTTTGATTTCTGCTGTTGTTTTTTATTGATTGATTGATTGATTGATTGGATATGGTATGTTTGGATGATTGACTTGGTTCTCTATAATCACGATCTAGGTGCGTTGATTTTAATTGAAAGCGGACCCGAAGGCAAATTTGTAGGCCCGCTACGGCACCATGAGTCAGCAATTTTGTTTCCATGTGCCTTTAAAGTTTGAATGAATTAGGCCTATTAAATAAATCAATAATATAAATAAAGTTAAAAAAACAAAACAAAACAACACCAGTGACTCGACAAAAA